ATTAACATGCTACTGATATTCTTCATTGTTTTGGATAGCTAGACAGCGTTGGCGCCATTTGCACTTTGCACTTTATCAATAACATTTTTTCTCTCTACCGCATAGGAATGTTGTTAAGGCATCCTTGACATTAGATGAAATACATTCACTTATGTTTGTATGTGTGTCTGTGTCCGCGTATACGTGTGTGCGTCTGTGTTTGAATATGAGTGTGTGTGTGTGTATGCATATGTGTCTGTGAATGTGCATGTGTATAATGATATGAGAATGTCTTAGTTTATTTTACTCGTAGATCTATACGGATGATTGTCTTCATTATTTACCGAATGTTCCTAAATTTTAATAATGAATCAACAAAAAAAGTATGTTTTCCGCCAAAAAAAACAACCAACCATCAATGTTATAAGAAAAGTGCAGAAAGTCTATCACAAAATGCGTTTAAATACTTAGATCTATCAAACAATGGTGTTTTCCGTATGTTTAAAACAAAATATATAAAAAGTATAAAAAATATAAAAAATACAAAAAAATATAAAATATATAAAATGTATAAAATATATAAAATTTATGAAATTTATAAAATAAATAAAATACCTTTTGTAGATTTTTTAACCCACGCTGTGAAAAATAAGGCAGATTCCTGAGTTTAAATGACGAAATCTAATTAATGCCAGGTACTAATTAAATCTGGATGTGCTCAAACCGAAACCTTCTGGCTTATACGCTCTAGACCACGCCATTTCTGCCTATTTTTTTTACCCCTCGTTAATTAATTAACTTAACAATTGAGCCGTATATCCGTCTTCACACTAAACGTCCGCCCTTGATGAATAATTAATAGACGATAAAAAAAAACGTCTGTACCCCACCCCCAAACGTGACCACAGCTTAGTCTAGACTCGACTCTAGACCATGACAAATCTACTCTTTTTGTTATCAGACTGAATGTCTGAAGTTAAAGGTGTATTTTTGTTTAAAATAATAGTTCACTCCCTTTCCTGTTTATACGTTAACTCATCATTATAAAGCAGGTATGTAGAAAAAAATATGACAGTTCACTCCCTTGCCTATTGTTGTTTGTATTCGTTGACTTGTTATTGTAAAACAGGTATGTAAAAAAAAAAAGACAGTTCACTCCCCTGACTATTGTTTTATTCGTTGACTTATCATTGTAAAACAGGTATGTAAAAAAAAAAAATGACAGTTCACTCCCTTGACTATTGTCTTCTCCATTCACTTATCAGCACGGGTTAAAATGACCCAACCCTAACCACAATTTCCCAGCCTCGGGTGACCCCCCTTGTAATTAAAACCGGACACGGGTCATCCAGACCCAGCCTCGTTGCTATTAGATTGTCTTGCAGGCGTGGGAGAGCTAATTAATATCTCTGGTATTCCAGGAATTTTATTATGTGCGGTTTATCAAGCAAAAGGGGCATAACCAGGTCTGGGCCACAGTGTGGAGTTAGCTCCAGTTTGTTATTTTTTTTTTTTGAAAGGGCGGTAACCTAAAATGATGATACATTTTAAAAATATTTTTTAGAAAAAATTATCCAATCCACTTTTTTTTTTGTCATAAAAATGTCACAACACCAGCCACTTTACTTTTCACGTTAAAGCATACAAAAAAAAAAATGGATACATGTTAAACAAAAGTGTATGATGTTAATTGTAAAAGACATTTAGAATATTTTTACTGTACAGTTTCTTAAATCATCTACAGTGACTTAAATCATCAACTAATAAAGTTGGACTAATGGAATAAATAAATAATCAGAAACAATTTTTTATCCCCCCCCCCCCCCCCCGCCCCATCTCCGCCCTTTTAATTTTTTTATTTTCCTCTGCTTCGAGACATTGGTCATGGGGATGATTATATATATAAATTTATTTATATATATATATATATATATATATATATATATATATATATATATATATATATATATATATATATATATATATATAGTTCTACCCCCTCCCTGCGGGAAATGGGGTGTGTTTTTGTGTTGCCCGGGGATGCACTAAACACTTTTTGATTACGGATGTGAGCATGGGGTGGCGATTGGGTAGCATGGTGTGACGAATGAAAAATGATTGGGAATGGATTGGAAAAAGATTGGGAAAGTATTGGATGGCTAAGAGTTAGGAACAGGTAAAGTAGAATTGGGTAGAGTGTTGAAGGAAAATACCTACTAGTGATGCACACAAATCGGGTACAATGAAAACGGCTGACTTGTACTAGTCGCATAAATTCTCGCACAACAGATATACTCTACTACATCTACTAAATTATTCGATAGTTACTTAGCCCTTAAAGGCAATTTTACATTTTACTTACTTAAAGGAAAATCAGTTCGCTTCTCTGTATACTTGTACAGTCTAGAAAAAAAATTTCTGTCGTTATCACTGTCTAGACGAAATCGATTTTTAGAAGCGTGTAAGACGGTTTTAAAGGGCTACTAAATCAATTCAGATCGATGAATTACAGTGTGGGTAAGCTGACCTGTCCAACGTTAAGTAATTGGTTAAGTCATCACTAGGTCGTGGCCTCGAAAATTATGTGGACATTAATTGGTCGATGATTTTATTTGTTATACTATAGCCCTAACTGTAGTGCTAACCGTAGCCCTAACTGTAGTGCTAACCGTAGCCCTAACCGTAGCCCTAACCGTAACCCTAACCGTATCGCTAACCGTAGTCCTAACCGTAGTGCTAACCGTACCGCTAACCGTAGTCTTAACCGTATCCCTAACAGTAGCCCTAACTGTACCGCTAACCGTAGTCCTAACCGTAGCCCTAACCTTAACGCTAACCATAGTCCTAACCATAGCCCTAACCGTAGCCCTAACCGTAGCCCTAACCGTAGCCCTAACCTTAGCCCTAACCGTAGTCCTAACCGTAGTCCTAACCGTAGTCCTAACCGTAGTCCTAACCGTAGTCCTAACTGTAGCCTTAACCATAGCCCTAACCGTAGCCCTAACCGTAGCCCTAACCGTAACCCTAACCGTACCGCTAACCGTAGTCCTAACCGTAGTTCTAACCGTAATCCTAACCGAAGCCCTAACCCAAATTGTAAGACTTACCTTAACAGTGTTTGTATTCTCATCAATCATAGCTTAGGAGAAACTGTTTTACAGTACCAGAGAAATACCAAATTTTGTTTGGGTGATATTCAGTGGTTGGTTAATTGTCACACAGTTCGTCCTTCCTGGCATTAACGCATCATCACATCGTATGATCATTGCATTACAAGGAATATCATTTCATCATAACATCGCTAGTAACATCATCACATCACATTTCGTGTTATCATAAGTCATGACATCACAAGTTATATAATAATAAGTCATATGATCACAAGTCATAACATATCCTCACATCATAAGTCATCTCATCACATTATCGCATGATCAAACCACAAGTCACATCATCGCATCATAAGTCATGTAATCACATCATCGCATGATAACATCACAAGTCTTATCATCTCATCAACATCATCACATCACAGTTCATATAATCTCATCATTGCATCTTTCCATCATCACGCCACATCAACACAAACGTTTCTTAAAGTCATTTAGAGGGGGTTTGAAAGCAGGCATTTTTTGTGAAATAATAATATAGACATAGAGTATTATTTCATTACCAAATATAGACACAAGTACGTAATTTAGTCATAGAGAAGACCGACTCGTTTTATCCAGAACTCTAGTAAATATCTGTGTCTACATTCGGCATTGAAATAATACTCTATGTGAATATATTCTTATTTCAAGTCATTTAAACATGTTAAGTAATAAAACATATCTTTAAAAAAAAGTATCTTATTCGATAACAAAGGGAAAGAACTCCAACATACATAATTACTTCCCTTATTTACACACATTTTTATTTACATGTCCAAATAGCTAAAGAACCACCACCACATCAATGGTGAATCACGACTAGAATGTGAAAATTTAATAACCAAACTCAATTCTGAGTCACGTTACACATCCAGTTTATTTTAAACCTACCGCCGTTTCTCATTCTCTAGATCCTTCCACGATGTAGGTGTTACCCCAAATATTTGATGCCGTCATTCATTCACTATTACACCTGAGTTTCCCCCCACCCCCTATGTCTAGCCTCACCCCTCCCCAACACCACCTCCTCTCTCTCTCTCGTGTGTACTCACGTCGACTGTCTAATCGCCCACGCCGCTGCTATCTCGCTCGCTCCCCTCCACGCCCCCCCATCTCCCCCTCCACCCCCTCTAGTCATTGTTCAATTATTTAACCCGCCGTGGGACAACTATAAAACGTGAGTCCCCCCTCGATCCTTCACATTCATAGTGGCTGATTTAGCCACTGTCGTAGCTGCTCCACCATTTGTTTTAAACCATACAGTTCATTGACACTTACCGTACTCACTGTAATAGACACACGTTGACCTCACATTTATACCAGTTGCCTTCAGTTTCATTAAGACGTGGAAACATTATAACACTGTTTAATTTATAAGAGCAATGATGACATTCGAAGAGATATGCTTATGACATTTTTTTCACATATTCATTGGGAGTACAAACATATGGATAATATAATTAGTATACGGTTTGTTTAAAATTATTTGTTATATATTTTGAACTGGATTGTTACGGTCTTGTTTTATATAGCTTTATTTATGTGTTAGTCAATTTAAAAATGTCACAAATTATTATATGCATCTACTGGGTCTATATATATATATATATATATATATATATATATATATATATATATATATATATATATATATATATATATATATATATATATAGTGAACCACCCATGTACACCATTATTCACCTATACATAAAATGCTTATATCTATGCATTCAAGGTGAATTGCTAATTAAGAAAACAGACAACTGGCATTGCACGTGTCTTTTTTATAGCCCCCCCCTCCCCCGTTATTTTTAACCATTATGCTGTAAATAATACTTTTTTCCCTCTCTCTCTTGTTTTATGTAGGTAAAACCCTCGGCAAGCCTCGTCATCTTGTGTACTCTGTACGACTGCCGTGAGAAATAGATCTAACATCAGCGGGATTTACTGAAGATTTTTTTTCTGCAGAATTTTTTTTAAAGCAGTTTCAACACACATCTTGTTTCAAAATAAAAGGTGAACTCAGTTTCTGGTTGTGAATTTGGATTTTAAAACTTAATTTTAGAGATTTTAAAAAATTTAAATTATTTTACTTGAAAATTTCGAGTTGGATAGAGTTATGATTTCCTGTTTCTTAAAATAGTAGAAGTGGAATCGATTTTGGTGAGATGATTAAGAAGTTGATGTGATTTTAAATACGGCCTTCTTAAAGTGGATGAATCATTTTTTTTTTTATTCAAGAATATTTTTGCTAGAGATTATATAGTAGAAGAAAAAAAAAGGTTAATAATATATTAAGTTTAGAAGATAATTATTTGTGAAAATTAAAAAAAAAAATTAAAATACTTTAAAAAATAAAAATAAAATTATGAAGTTATTTTTTTGGCTTTATAATTAAAAAAAAAATAGCTTCAAATAATATAGAAAAAAAATATTATTAGGCTTTTACATAGATAAAAAAAATAATTTAAAACTTTCTAATTAAAAGTTTTACTAAATGAAGCAAAAACACAATTTAATTTTATCAGACAAAATACAACCCCCACCTAAAAAAATAATTATTCTAAACCGTGACTATCACACCCACATTAAAACAAGAAAATTAAAAAAGCTACTCATCCGCTTATCTAAAAATAGAACTTCAACAACAAAAAAAAACGTTGACTACGATTCGGATATAATTACGCGAATTAGGAAGGATGCACGGAAAAGCCAATATGGTTTTAATTGGTGTACACGCGAAAGCACTCGATAGCCACGCGTTAAGTGCGCAATGTTTGTTTCTCTCCTAAAGCTAATCTTTGAGTTTTTTACAACAAAAAAATAAAATTTCTACTAACCTGTTACGGAAATAGATTTTTCGAGATAAAAATAAACCACTGTTCCACTCCACTGGTATTCTAAAAAATACTTTTTTAAAACCGTTTAAATAGATTTAGTTAAAAATTTAGTTTTTACAGTATTAATATGTTTGAGATTATGTTAAACTAAAATATAGAGTAAATAGTACATTTTATAAAATACATATGACTAGTTGTTTCCAAATAAAAGTAACGATAAAGAAATAGTAAAACTGGCCGCGTTTACCCACTAAAATGAGTAGCTGTTTTTGCTATAGAGTGATGGTGGATTAGGTGAATTTGTATTTACGTGTTTTAAAGCAGTATTTTAAAGTTAAAAGTGCATTTTTTCACTGTCATTAATTGTTACCAAGTAAAATTTTAGTGGACAAAAAAATTAAGTCCTATTGTAAGAATTAAAATAAATCCGTATTCAAAATTAAAACACCAGTATGAAAAATGAAGTTCATTTTAAAGACTCCTGTTAGTTTATAACTATTATTGTGTTTACATATTTTGCACCCCCTCCCCTTGCGTAGGAAAGGATACTTCAGCTAGCCTCTAACTCCCCCGACCTACGTCATCACCAATCAGATAGGTACGGTGACGTCATAAATCCTGTATTAACATACCCTTATATGTCCGGAATTTAAACCTCAGGATTTGTTTAGAAAATCGCTCGACCACTCCGCGTACTTAAAAGTTATAAACCCCAAAAATATCACTACAACATCTTAATTAAAACAATACTAATTCAAACTAATTATTCGCTAGACAAGGATTTCAAGATGAAGTGACTAGACGTACGCGTTGAAGTGTGGGCTGTGTGAAGTGGCTCTCTAAATTTAGCCTCAACCCTCGTCACACTCTTCGGTTAAAAACTCGCGTGAAAAACACACGAGCACTCATAATAGTCTCGACTACTCACCAATTTACATGTACAGCCATTCCAACAATTTTTTCAACATTGTTTTTTTTCCAAAATTACAGAAATTTGATCTTTCAAGTATTAATTACTGTGATAAATTAAGACCCTGGTCTAATTGGATATTATGACAGTCACGTGATAAGAGACCATTTGGATTTATAAAACCATCGGAACTCCAGTTTTTGGAATAACTACAAATGTTTTCTTATGTGATTTTATTATTCGTGGTGTTCCTCTTTGGAGTATTTCCCGGTAAGTGATTCATATTTATATTACTTTTCGGTAAGAAGTACTTTTATGATTAAACACTGGTTTACTAGCGGGACGGGGTGGTCAGGTGGTAGAGCATGCGACTGCTAACCTAAAAGTCTCGAGTTCGAATTCTGGGTTCGTGTCAGTAGAACGTCCCTGAGTCCACCCAGCGGCTGGGCATAGTGCTGATCACACTATCCCTTTACATGTCGAGAACACTGATTAGACAAACTCTACTCCACCTACCCCTATGGCCCGTCAGGTTCTCAAGGGAACTTTGCTTATTGTCTTACCTGCGTTGTGTACGGACCGGGGAGAGGTTAGGATTTATTGTTTAAGTACCAGCTAACAGAAAAAGTACCAGTGTCTTTGAAATGCATGTTGACATGTTTCTTCGTACAGATTTTTCTTGAAACTTCAATCCTCTCCCTCTTATGTAACTTATGTAACCAGTTGTAACAAGTTATGTAACAATTTATAACAAGTTGTAACAAGCTGTAACAATCTATAACAATTTGTAGCAAGTTGTAACAATTTATAACAAGTTGTGTAACAATTTGTAACAAGCTATAACAAGTAACAAGTTGTAACAATTTATAACAAGTTTTAACAAGTTGTAACAATTTGTAGATTATGTAACAAGTTTTAACAAGTTGTCATATGTTGTAAAATTTGTAGCTTATGTAACAAGTTGTAACAAGTTGTAACAAGTTGTATAACAATTTATAATAAGTTGTAACAAGTTGTAACAAGTTGTAACAAGTTGTAACAAGTTGTAACAAGTTGTAACAAGCTGTAACAAGTTGTAACAAGTTGTAACAAGCTGTAACAAGTTGTAACAAGTTGTAACAAGCTGTAACAAGTTGTAACAAGTTGTAACAAGTTGTAACAAGTTGTAACAAGCTGTAACAAGTTGTAACAAGTTGTAACACGTTGTAACAAGCTGTAACAAGTTGTAACAAGTTGTAACAAGCTGTAACAAGTTGTAACACTTAACACCGGCATCCATCCTCCGGCTGTCACATCCCACTAGCCCCAGCACTCGTAAATTTTCTGTTGATGTAAGCGAGAAGGTTACCTGTCGGCATAGACGTAACTCACTTTGTTTGTGTGTGGTGGTGGGGGGTATGTGTGTGGTGGTGGGGGTAGTGTGTGTGGCGGTGATATAGGGAGTGGGAGAGGGGGTTTGTGAGAGAGTAGAGACATAAAGTGGTTTTGAGACAAAGTGTGTGTGTGAAAGTGTGTGAGAGAGAGAGTGGTTTTGAGACAGTGTGTATTAGTGTAAATGGATTTGTGTGTGGCAGTGTATATGTGTGTGTGTGAGAGAGAGAGAGAGAAAGTGGCTTTGAGACAGTGTGTATGTGTGTAAATGGATTTGTGTGTGGCAGTGTGTATGTGTGTGTGTGAGAGAGACTGGTTTTGAGACAGAGTGAGTGTGTATGAAAGTGTGTGTGTGTTTGTGTGTGTGAGAAAGAGTGGTTTTAAGACTGTGTGTGTATGCGGATGTGTGTGTGGATGTGTGAGAGAGATAAAGTGTATGTAGGCGATAGTGTGTGTGTGTGATCGTGTTTTTTTAACAGGTGTATGTATGCGTGTATAAGTATACGTGTCTGTACGACAGTATGTATATGTGTGCATGTGTAAGTATGTGCGTGTGTCAGTGTGTAGGTGCTAATGTGTGTCTGACAAAAATTAAAGGACCACTAGTCATTTCGCGGATCGTTAAAAAAAACAGTCTTTCACTTATACTTAACCCTTCATTTCATGAATTAATTTTGTGAAAGCTTTTTGAGAAAAAAAAATCTTACAAGGTGGGCTGTGGTGTGTAGAGAGCATAAATAATGAGGAAATTGAATTATTTTATCAAATAATGTTTATTTTGCAAAATAACAGTATGTATCAGATTTGATACAGTATGCAATGGTGGGTAAAAATTTGTTAAAATTGACAAAAAAGTATTTTTTACTTATCATTGAAAATTTATTGAGTAATTATTAATTTGAGTAAAACACTTATTCATCCCAAATCTGGAGCATCAGACATTCATTTACAAGGTAGTAATTTACATTTTTTTCACAATATTGCTATTACCAGTTATGTCATATTTCTTAGTAATCATGCATCTTTTTATTGTGTAAGTCAATAAGCAGCATCACTTTGCTCAGCATGACCTCTATCTAGTATAATTTGAAATTGTTTTGTTTTAAATGCAAAGTAGTTTTTAATGACTCAAACTTGTTTATATGAAAGAAATTAGAATATATCTACAATGCTGATATTTGGCCATTATTAGAACTTTTTCCTATGCAATGAAACCAGAGACATGACTGGTAGAAGCCAATGAATTGATTTATTTCTTCTATATCAAAGACTTCAAGCTTTATCTGGATTCCTCTGTGCAATGTAGATCTAGAAAATCCTTTCACCCAGTATACTAAGATAGTCTTTATCCATGGTGTGAAATAAAATAATCTTGAACAGCCGGAAGGCCTTGCACTAAAAACTATGTTGGTCAGTTCCTATTCCTCACAAATAATAGAAAACATTCATGTGTTTTAGTTAACCACTTTGCTGGACTAGCATCTGCTTACATCTTATGAATGTACATCTTATAAATGTAGGCCTACAGCTTATAAATGTATATCAGAATAAAGTCTACCGCTTTACTTGCTCCGAACCAATCCCTTTATTCTCTCTACATCACTTTCTAAGTGTTCAATTTCAGTTACAGTAACACCTTCAACATTAGGTAAATAAATAGATGAATAATTAGACATTAGTGACCAAAGAAATGTGCAGTCTCTATTTCAGACAGAATTCTTTTGTGAGAATCTTTACCCATCCTGTAAAAAAAAAAATTCACTATAAGAAACTATATATTATTTCTAGATTTATTTACTTTATCTTCATGCATGCACAAATTAAATTATAATTTAAATAAAAATAATGTATCACTGCTACTTTTTTATATACTAGAGGATTAGGATTTTATTTGCAAGTTTAAATACTATATGCAAGAATGTCAATCAAATATTATTATGCCATTTTTTTTAAAAACAATTATTGCAAGTGATAAGTTCAATATGTACTATAGGCCTTTTTATTAGATTGTAACTTCATAAGATGAATAATCAAATATTACACCAACTTCACTTTCATTTACATTCTCCTTGAAGTCTACCATCTATTTCATTCAGAACAGTTTTGCGACAAAATTTATCGCTCGCTCTAGACAAAAAGAGATCCTGTAAAAATAAATAAAACAATGTCTGCACCAAACAATCTCTAATCATTCATGAACTTCATGGATTTATAAATTAAGTTTTAATTACTATTATAAACATAAGTAAACCACCACTGCCTATAGTAATTATTACTGTTTGCGTACCGATATGAAGTAAATAATAAGTAGACTAAGTATGTAGGCCTATGCCTAATATTATTACTTATTTTCTATAATAATAATTACTGTACTACTTTCTAAGCTTATTAGACCCAAACACTGTCTCTGTGTATGAATTAGTATGATTAGAGAATTATATGCAAGTTATTCTAAGCAGTAGCTAGTAAATATCAGTCTAATACTATATTATTATTGTTATACATTATGACACTTTTTTTGGTCTTCAATAGCAGCACTACACTGTACACCCTTTATTATAGGCTTATTATAGTAGCACACTGATCATCTGTATGTATATAGTACTGAGTAAGTGCTAAATCTAAGTAAAATTAGTATACAATAGTCTACAGCTTGACTATGTTACTATTGTTACAGATTTTGACACTATTTTTCTTCTATAATTTACATATTATTATTGTAAAAATATGAAAGAAAAACAAACCTAAGCTAGTGTAAGAACCAACAGTTGACTAGAGTCTACCTACTAGATGTTAGGAATTGTTCTATCAACTAATTATTATACTACAGAAAAGTCACTATACAGTAGTCCCAGCAAGTGTCATGGTCATACCGTTGCATGGTGTATCAAAACTGTTACATACCGTAATTGGACATTATCAGCACAAATATAAAGAAATAGTATGCAAACAACTTATTTTTAGGTAAAATTACTCACCTGAGATTGGTGAATATTTTTTTCAAGAAGAAAAACACGGCCTGTGAATTTTTATTATTTTCTCAAAAACACCTCGATCACAGCTGTCCGACCAGTGTAAAAAAACGGAATCAAACTCGAATTGTGTGAGACGAAACACACCTATAGTCTGTTTTGGGTATGAAGTTGGGTCAAAAGTGATCAAGCTAGAGTATGGCATATTAAAAACTCAGATTTTAACATTTGTGTAGATTCAATGGGGGTTATTTCACTTTGTATCAAAATTGATACAACATGAAATGAAGGGTAATTTAAAGACAGCCTATAAATTACCGTAACTTACTAAGATCATTGTGTTAACATTGTTTTTAACTTTATAGTTTATTTAAATTTTAACTTGCCCAGTTTAAATATACATACCACTCATTATTTCTCAGACCCCCAATCAGGGGGAGGGGAGGGAGAGATTATCACGTGGATTTATTTATCATGTAAACGCGAACAAATTTCGCTTTCCTGCTGACTGCAATAGTTTAGTTCGCTAAGATAAAAGAGAACTTTTTGATAGCTCTACAAAAAAAATCATTAAAGTACAAGCTTAATTGGTTAATTAAAATGTTTTTCCTTTTTAGTTTTGATTTAACCAGTGTCAATTTGACGTTCAGGGGTTTCTTTCAGACATTTTTTTCCGGGACGAGGGTGGGGGGGGGGGGGTAATTTTAAAAATGAAATGTTAAAATATATATTTTCCATTGAAATTTAATATATTTTTTTCTATTACCTACGGGGGAATGGTGAGGGAGGGGGTGGCACCGTTTTAAGGTGTTGCTGGGGGTGGGGGTGGGGGAGTGGGGGCAGCTCCACCCCGGAGAGACGCCTGAAAAGAAACACTGTTGACGTTTATCGTGTTGATTTCCTGGTTCCGTGTAGTTTCTT